AAATAATAGCTTAGAATGTGCTCTTTAATATGGTGTATTATAATCCAATTACTTTGAACGTCCAACATTTTCACCTAACCCAACAAATACTAAATAATGTCGAAACTTTAAAAAATAGTGTAAACGTTGTTTATAAAAATGAAGAATTGAGTTGTACTGACCTCAAATTATAGCTTAAAATGTGCTCTTTAAGATAGTATATAAAAATCAGTAATAATCTAATTATTTTTCCTTGAAAACATTTAAAACTATATCCGACTTATAAATTTTATAAGAAAACCCAATCCAACCCAATTAATTTTTAAACATGTTAAAACTTTAATAAGTTGTCTAAATCTTATTTGTGAAAATGAATGAATGTTCTATATGTCAAATGAAAGCTTAAAATATGTTCTTTAAAATGGTATATAATAATCAATAATAATCTAATTACTTTTCCTTGAAAACAATTAATAATATATGTCTGTCATTTTCACCTAATCCATCTATTGTTAAAAAATGACAAAACTTTAATAAGTTGTCTAAATCTTATTTGTGAAAATGAAGGAATGTTCTATATGTCAAATGAAAGCTTAAAATATGTTCTTTAAGATGGTATATAATAATCAATAATAATCTAATTACTTTTCCTTGAAAACAATTAATAATATATGTCTGTCATTTTCACCTAACCCAACTAATGTTAAAAAATGACAAAACTTTAATAAGTTGTCTAAATCTTATTTGTGAAAATGAAGGAATGATCTATACGTCAGATGAAAGCTTAAAATATGTTTTTTAAGATGGTATATAATAATCAATAATAATCTAATTACTTTTTCTTGAAAACAATTAATAATGTATGTCTATCATTTTCACCTAACCCAACTAATGTTAAAAAATGACAAAACTTTAAAAAGTTGTCTAAACCTTATTTGGGAAAATGAAGGAATGATCTATACGTTAAATGAAAGCTTAAAATATGTTCTTCATGATGATACATAATAATCAATAATAATCTAATTAATTTTCCTTGAAAACAAGTAATAATATATGTCTGTCATTTTCACCTAACCCAACTAATGTTAAAAAATGACAAAACTTTAATAAGTTGTCTAAATCTTATTTGTGAAAATGAAGAAATGTTCTATATGTCAAATGAAAGCTTAAAATATGTTCTCTAAGTTGGTATATAATAATCAATAATAATCTAATTACTTTTTCTTCAAAACAATTAACAATAAATGTCTCTCATTTTCACCTAACCCAACTAATGTTAAAAAATGACAAAACTGTAAAAAGTTGTCTAAATCTTATTTGTGGAAATGAAGGAATGATCTATATGTCAGATGAAAGCTTAAAATATGTTTTTTAAGATGGTATATAATAATCAATAATAATCTAATTACTTTTTCTTGAAAACAATAATATATGTATGTCTGCCATTTTCACCTAACCCAACTAATGTTAAAAAATGACAAAACTTTAATAAGTTGTCTAATCTTATTTGTGGAAATGAAGGAATGATCTATACGTCAAATGAAAGCTAAAAATATGTTTTTTAGGATGGTATATAATAATCAATAATAATCTAATTACTTTTCCTTGAAAACAATTAATAATATATGTCTGTCATTTTCACCTAATCCAACTAATGTTAAAAAATGACAAAACTTTAATAACTTGTCTAAATCTTATTTGTGGAAATGAAGGAATGTTCTATATGTCAAATGAAAGCTTAAAATATGTTCTTTAAGATGGTATATAATAATCAATAATAATCTAATTACTTTTCCTTGAAAACAATTAATAATATATGTCTGTCATTTTCACCTAATCCATCTATTGTTAAAAAAATG